AATCAGAATAAAAGATGCATCAATTTTGAAAAATGGTATATCCTGCTTTTGTAATACAAAGGTGTTGGCGTTGCTTACTTTAAAAATGAGGATCAATTACTCACTGCATTAAAAAAATCAAATCAAAAAATTAATGGGAAAGCAATTAAGGTTTGCAGATATCCTCCTGATGACTTATATCACTATAAACAAAACAAGCCTGAAAAACGTGAAAAGCCTAACTGGCCTGAAATGTCTAAAGAAGATGCATTAGATTTAATAAAAGAGACTGGCCGGTTGTATATTAGAAATTTGAGCTATTCTTGCACTGAAAAAGACATCGAATCCCTTTTTTCACCCTTCGGTTTGTCTCACTTTTATTTCATTTGAAGGATCCCTTTCTGAACTTAATTTGGCATATGACTATCGACTCCGTAAACACAAAGGCTTTGGATTCGTTACCTTCCTTTTTTCTCATGATGCTATTACTGCTTTTGAGAAACTTGACAAGACCGAATTTCTTGTAAGTTCATTATTTTTTCGTCTGTCATTCTTGCTGTTACTTTTAGCTTAATTCATTTTACTTCTTAGGGACGTCTGCTTCACATCCTACCAAGCAAAGAATGCCCATCTGTACATTTAAGCAAGTCTGATAAGAACGACCTCGATGTTGGACAATCACAAAAAAATCCTAAGGGTCCTCAGACCACATCTGTTGATCTGTCATCTGAAACTGCTTCCTCTTTCCAAAATGAGCGCTTACAAGGTTTAAAGTCATCGTCTAGCAGAAGTCACAATTGGAACATACTCTTCATTCAACCAGATGCTGTAGCCACTTACTTGGCTGCTAAGTTCGGTGTTGCTAAAGTGTGCTATTTTTTAATGTCAGCTATTTCCGTGCACTTAACTGCTCATATTCATATCTACTTTCTTTTTTCAGGAAGAGCTCTTAATGGAGAAAATTGATCGTAAATCGAGATCCTCTGATAATATTACCTCTGCATCCATTCGCTTTGCACAAGGGGAAGCACAGCTTGTTATGGAATTGAGAACATATCTCAAAAGCAATGGCGTTAATCTAAATATTTTAGAATCCTGCCAGCCAACTTCTTTCGGTTCTCTCCGTTCCTTGGTTGCTCCAATCACTTTATCCTCTCGGATATTTCTTATTAAAAATCTTCCTATCTCCATTATTCCAAGTGAAGTTCGAGATCTTATTTCCAGCTATCTCCCATCTGATTGTGAGGCTCCTATCCGTGTTTTGGTGCCTCCTTTGGGGCTCACAGCTATCGTTCAGTTCTCAGCTCCTCAGGTTGCCAGACGAGTTTATATGGCTATGGCCTACGAGAAGGTACACTTACTGCTCTTAAATTATCCTATTTATTTTTGCCTCTTATCTGTTTGCAAGTTTAGAAGAATACAGGATATTGATTCTCTGCCATTTCAATAGTCGCTACTGATCATCATATTAAGGGTACTTTAAAGTTATTTATAGTTCCCTTCTGTTTTTTAATTACATTATCTTATTACTTATATTTATAGCAACAACATTAGTTAGGTCGTGATATATGGACAGATATTCTTTCCTCTTATTCTGCGTACAATTTATTGTTTTTAACTTCGATGCACGCTTAATTATGTCATCCTTTTACAATTAGCGTATTTTTCCATTTCAAACTTTTGGCAAAGCAAAGCTATGCGAAATTCAATGTAAACGTCAGCTCTACTCATATCATTGTGGGAAAATTCTACTACCAGTCCTTTATCACCTTAAACGAAAT